ATAAACTAGTAGTTCAATGGGTAAGCAGCAAATGATGAAGTATGAACAAGGAAAGGAGGAAGCGCACCAGTAATCCGCCAAATCTTCGAGCCGATCCTCGTTCAAAAACTTCTTCAGCACGAACGATTCCTCTACACGGTCAAATGAAAGTGACAGTGCCAGTTCTTTAACACGACTCACGAATTCTTTCTGTAGCTCAGCTGGAGTATCACCTGCAGAAGGAGAGAATACGGTATCCCGAGCTGTTTCTCACATCTATCACAGCTGTATGAAAGATCTACATACCCTCGATGGCGTAGAGCTGTTGAACGGTGCTGACTGGAATGGCAAACTTTTCAATTTTAGCCCTGGACACTCCTACCAGGTGAATTGTGTACTGTACAAAGTTATTGTAACTCCAGCATACCACCTGCTCAACCAACGCCACCGTACCCGTCTCGAAGACTTTCTGAATGAACCGGGGCTAGCTTGGATTGAAATAAAGAATACTTTTCACTCTGCCTAGTAATGCCTGCCTACATTATGAAGGATAAAATTGGGCTTTTTGTCCAATCCGAATTTCAATGCATTAATCAAATTTTTTCAAAAAAAAAATGGAAAATGGAAAAAATGAAAAATACTGCTCTTTGAAAGTGAGAGTCATTCTCTTTGAAATCCAACACATTCAAATATTTCTGGGATTCTAAAGAAGTCAGGTGCATGGCACATTCATGGAAGAATCAATCAATACCAATTGTTCTACCATACTATAGCATTTATGCCTAAACTCGGTTTCAGCTTAGACATTCAGGTTTTCATGATGCCTAAAGTTACCTTCTCCTTCTCTATCCGATATGCGACTAACATCAGTGATTTTCCCAGAACACCTTTGTTCACTACGAAACGATCCAATGTTGCCAGACTAAAAATAGATAAAAAGTTAAAGAATAAATAACCATAAAAAAACAAAAAAAAACCAACACTCTAGTGGGCTACTAGTAAAAACCAATCAAGCGAAGAAATACAGTGCATTATGATACTCACTTCGTCCGACTCTTTATGGGCACTTTCAATTTGGCATTCGGTAGCAGTACACCGTTAGTGAGAAGCAGAACGGGTAACTCCATATTTCAGTTCTGGAACAATTATTTCAAGAAATACTCTCAAACGAAAAGGTATAATTACAACGTTCCAGTTTCAGGAGTTATATTTTACAGCTGTTTTGCGAAGCAAGAGCCAGCGCTTCGTTGCGCGTGTCCGTCGAAACTAGGTCACGCCGCAGCCGTCGCAGGCGGCGGGTCGGCCCGCGATATTTGACAGACGTCGCAATTGTCAGTGGGGCATACGCTTTGCGTTTGGTCCACAGCAGTCAGTTCAAGAAGAAGATAACATAGACAAATGCAAATCATCTGCTCCAATGACACTTGGTGGTACAGTAATGTCATCTTGAGACCTCTGTGTGATGCGCCGCGCGCGAATTGGGTGGGGTGACCTACTTTCGATGGACGCGCGCAACGGACGTTCTCCGAGTCAGCCAGTCAGAATTGCCCGCTTCCAATGCTCCACAGATGAAGAGCCGCAGTGGTTGAATGCACAATGATGCTTAGGATTGATTGATCTAGAGGGTCAGGTAAATGATCAATCGAACCTGATATACCTCTATGATCAACTATTTTATCTCAAAAAATGAATAAAACTGAATAAATGCATAACTAGTTTTATTAGCCTCAATTTATTATATGAAAATATCGATTTCTCTATAGAATAAACGCAATAAAAATTTAAAAAAAATAATAAAAATTATAATATGAATAAGAATGAATAGGAATGTACTGATATGTGGTGAAAGCAATGCGGCTCTGAGGGAGACGAGAGCCTAGCTTAACTATATTTAAAGTTGAAAAATATAACAAAAGTAACCGCTCCCACTTCAGAGCTTCGAGATAGCCTCTCTTAACTTGTTACAGAAATAATACCTCAACGAAATGTGCCTTTACTGTATATTTATACGAACTATCGTATTAGCCAGTGAAAGTAGTGTAGTGGCTAGTGGCGCACTATCACACAAGCATGGTCACGGGTGAAAATCCCTGACTGATATCAGACTAGGACTGGACCGGACTATTCAAATGGAATGCGAAATTCTATTAATCGGTACCAGACGCGTTTGGGAGGATAAAAGTACTGAATCGTACATCGACTGGGCACCGCAAATCATTGTATAGAGACGATAGGCATTCAAACGTCGCTGCGGTCCTTAGTAGAAGTCGAATGCGGGGCGCATCCCCAAAATCAAAGAATTGATAAACATCGGAAGACTTTATCTATTTTTGATATATTCCTTGAGTATCGACGAAGATAAGTCTATCAGTAGTATCAGGATACAATAAATAAAAACAGGTTATTTACTAAAAAA